TTTTTAGAAAAGATTCAAGGAGATATTTGTGGGCCGAAAGCCCCGCCATGTGGACCATTTTGATATTTTATGGTGTTGATTGATGTTTCAACACGTTGGTCACATGTTAGTCTTTTATCGACTAGAAATTTAGCATTTGCTCAAATTATACGATTAAGAGCTCATTTTCCGGATCATTCTATAAAGAGAATCCGAGTTGATAATGCAGGAAAATTTACATCTCAATCATTTAACGATTATTGTATGTCAATTGGGATTGATGTGGAGCACCCTGTTGCTTATGTCTATACACAAAATGGTCTTGGTGAATCTTTGATTAAATGATTACAATTAATCGTTAGACCATTATTAATGAAGTGTAATTTACCTTCATCAGTTTGGGGACATGCTATTTTGCATGCAACAAATTTAATTCGGCTTAGAGCGACTGCATATCATGAATATTCCCCAATGCAATTAGTTACTGGACAAGAGCCAAACTTAGCACACATAAAGATATTTGGTTGTACTGTTTATGTTCCGATTGCTCCACCTCATCGTACAAAAATGGGCCTACAAAGAAGGTTGGGAATTTATGTTAGATTTGAATCTTCCTCAAATATCTTGAACCGATGACTGGTGACTTATTCACCGCACGGCTCGCTGACTGTCATTTCAATGAGACAGTATTCCCAAACTTAGGGGAGAAACTAATAAATCGGACCCAAGTACGAAAGAAATAACATGGAATGCAATAGGATTATCACACCTTGATTCTAGATCAAATATATGTGAGCAAGAGGTGCAAAAGATAATCCATTTACAAAACGTTGCAAATCAGTTGGCTGATGCATTCACAGATACAAGGAAAGTGACAAAGTCACATATTCCTGCTATGAATGCCCCTGCCAGAATCGAAATCCCAGCAGAGAATTCTGAAAATCTCTTGCAAATGACTCTTCTATACGCAAAAAGCATGGCAGGCCACTTGGATTAAAGGACATGAAACCATGAAAAACTAAAAGGCAAGAATTGATCTGTGATGTCAAAGATGTTCATCCTTCTGAACAAGAAAATGAACAATTTGAAAATATTGGCATAGAAAATGATATTAACAAATCAAACATCTCAAATAATGATCCAACTTCCTTAAATGAGGAAGATATTCCTGATAATGATAGAAACGTTAATAATTATGAAATTTCAATAAATTACGTTTCTACTGGAATGCAATGGAATCAAAAAGATATTGATATTAATGAGATATTTGTATATGCCGTTGCTACGAATGTTATGAATGAAAACAATGACAATGAGCCAACATCAATTGAAGAATGTCGGAAATGGCATGATTGGCCAAAATGGAATGAAGCTATTCAGGGTGAATTAAAATCACTTGAAAAACGTGATGTTTTTGGACCGATGGTACCTATGTCAAAAGGTGTAAAACCTGTGGGTTTTTAAATGGGTATTTGTGCGTAAACGCAATGAGAAAAATGAAGATGTTAGATATAAAGCCCGACTTGTTGCCCAAGGTTTTTCTCAAATGCCGAGAATTGATTATGAAGAAACCTATTCTCCAGTAGTAGATGCAACTACATTAAGGTTTCTCATTGGCATGTCTGTTTTTGAAAGGCTGCAAATGCGCCTAATGGATGTAGTGACTGCATATTTATACGGTTCACTCGATACAGACATTTATATGAAAGTTCCCGGTGGATTTAAAGTGCCTGAAACTTATAGCTCGAAACCTCGAGACATGTTTTCCATTAAATTACAAAAGTCATTGTATGGACTAAAACAATCTGGACGAATGTGGTATAATCGTCTTAGCGAATACCTTCTCAAAGAAGGATATAAGAATGATCCAATTAGTCCATGTGTTTTCATTCGGCGATCTAATTCGGGATTCGCCATAATTGCAGTATATGTTGATGACTTAAACATTATTGGAACTCCCGATGAAATTGAAAGTACTGCAAAATATCTTATGAAAGAATTTGAAATGAAAGATCTCGGGAGAACATAATTTTGTCTCGGACTTCGAATTGAGCATTTGAAGAGTGGAATTTTCATCCATCAATCCAATTACACCGAGAAAGTTTTGAAGAGATTCTATATGGACAAAGCTCATCCGTTGACCTCACCAATGGTCATTCGATCTCTCAACATACACGATGATCCATTCCGTCCACGAGAAAACGGAGAAGATATACTCGGTCTCGAAGTACCATATCTAAGTGCTATCGGAGCTTTAATGTATTTAGCTAATAATACTAGACCATATATTGCATTTTCTATAAATTTATTAGCTAGGTACAGTTCATGTCCAACAAGACGTCATTGGAACGGGATCAAACACATATTCCGTTATCTCCGTGGTACAGTAGATCTTGGCCTATTCTACCACAAAGATGCAAAAGCCGCTTTAATCGGATATGCAGACGCTGGATACTTATCAGATCCTCAAAAGGCAAAATCACAAACCGGGTACGTATTTACTTATGGTAACACTGCAATCTCATGGAGATCTATGAAGCAGACATTGACAGCTACATAATCAAATCATTCGGAGTTAATTGCATTATATGAAACCGGAAGAGAATGTGTGTGGCTGCGGTCTATGATTCAACACATCCAAAATGAATGCGGTATGAAGCCTGTTACTTACCACCCAACTGTGATCTACGAAGACAACACTGCGTGCATAGCTCAAATTAAAGAAGGCTACATCAAAGGAGATAGAACGAAGAATATATTCCCAAAATTTTTCTCTACTCACGACCTTGAGAAATAAGAGACGATCAACTTTCAGCAAATCAGATCCAGTGAAAATCCAGCCGATCTCTTCACCAAATCTTTACCCCCGAAGAAGTTCATTGAACTTGTACACAAAAATCAGCATGCACCGCCTTCAAATTTTCTGTTAATTTCAGGGGGAGTATTTGAATGCACTGCACTCTTTTTTCCCCTTCATCAGGTTTTTATCCCACTAGGTTTTTCCTGATAAGGTTTTTAACGAGACACTACATCCATATACAACGACATTATAAGTCGTAATTCTTACCCCTTAAACTTTAAATTTTTCATAAATAAATCTTAACATAACAAATATCTATTCAAGGATGAACATTCAAGGGAGAGTGTTGAAAATTCCTGAGAATGACAAGTGTGAATGTTTCATCCTTATCATCAGGACACTAATCCAATTCCAGTCCTTGTAATAGACAGATGTTTAGGTTTAATGTTGTCAGCAAATTATGTAGAATCATTCCTAGATGATTCATCCCAAGTCTGGTTAGTATAAATAGGGTATTCAATCCTTTGTAAATTCATTCAAGAGAATTCAGAAAATCTCATATATTAAGAAGAATTAATTTGGAGCTTATTAATAATATATCTATCTCTTTAATCTGTTGTTGATCTTCTTCACTTTTCAATAATTTTTTTAATATTTAGGTAGTTGTATTTTAGAAAATAAATTAGTATTGCCTCAATGGAAAAGAAAAAGTGCCCCAATGAAAAAATAGAGTGTCCCCATTAACTCTTATATTTGTACACGTATTGAAGCCCACTATCAAAGCCGAACGGATGATCTAAAGATTATCTGCTGTTTTTATTGGATATCTCTCAAGTACTCTTTCATCTTCTTTAGTATTTTGCTTTCGCATATTTTTGTGTTCTTTCTTTTTATATTTAGTACTACGTACTTTTTTATTGTAATTTCAAAATTTTAATTTGTATGTATTTCACCTATAAATAATTGTCTTCTTTTCAATTTGGGTTGTTTCAAAATAATTGCCTTTTTATTTTTGACTTTCTAAAAATTATGTGTTTCATACTATTTCGATTTTGTACTTATATGTCAGTCAATTCTTTTATTTTTTCAAGTTTATAAGTATACAAATTCAAAAAAGAGCATTGTGTGTTTTAAATTTGATGTATATTTAAACAATATTTGTACCGTTCTATTTAGCGGATGCCCCCAATAGCATTTTTTTCTGGACCGGACACTGTCTCAAACACAAAATTCCAACAAAGACAACCATTATACTATTCGTCCAATCCCATAAACTAACTTACAGTTTCAAGTTTAGAAGAGAAACCCTCTGGGCAGGCAGTGATGTTTGCTACTTCCTCAGTATTTTTTACTGACAAAGTAATATGTGATGTTTGCTACTTCCTCAGTATATTTTTATGGATTTTTACGGAGTATTTTTTATTAAATTTTTTATTTGTATTTTAATTTTATAAATATTTCATTATTTTTTATTATTTTCCTACGATTTTTATTAATTTATTATGAATTAACACATTCCATTATGAATTAATACCTTTAGGGATATTTAGGGTAAAAGATTCATGGTTAGCCCTTTATATGTATATATATATATATATATATATATATATATATATATATATATATATATATATATATATATATATATAGGGGAAAGATCAAGTACAAAGTGTGCTTATTGTGCAAATATTTGTACGATGCACCTTGACGTTATTTGCATTGCATATTGAAGTTCAAAGTATTGCACATTATAAAGTCATAAAAATAGCAGTTGCACATTAAAGTGCAACGAGTTGCACCCTAAAAAGTTGAGTTTTATTACAAAAATGTCACCTTGCCTTTATGTCCTTTGGATCAACTCATCGGACGGTCAAGATGAGTTTGTACTTTGTAAATTAAGAAGGTTTTGTATTTGATCTCTATTCTATATATATATATATATATATATATATATATATATATATATATATATATATAGATATATATATAGGTTCAAGTGAGAAAACCATCTTAGGAGAGAAAAAAGAATGCATCACAACCATTATATATATATATATATATATATATATATATAATATTAGTCCTATTTTTTATTTTTAGGCAAATTTTTGGAAACCTATTTACGTAGTAATTAATTAACCTAATGTTTTAATAAAAGTAGGTTTCCAAATTTTACATTGGCTTTGCGATACAATCCTGAAGGAATTCAAACTCCACCTTCAAATCTATAAAATCACATGCCCCATAATCGTCCCCGAATCCCTTAAACTAATTTGAAGTTTCAAATCCGAAGTGAATTGAATAATAATCATGTCTTCTACTTCAGAGAAGAAAGTTGTGATCCTGAGGAGCTCCGACGGCGAGGAGTTCCAAGTCGACGAGTCCGCGGCTATTCAGTCCGTCACCATAAAGAATATAATCGAAGAAGATTGCGGCGGCGGCGTTATCCCTCTCCCGAATGTCGACGCCAAAACTCTGGCGAAGGTTATAACCTATTGGAAGGAACTGGCCGCGGCTAAGGACGCGGCCAATATGAAGGAATTCAATGAGAAATTCATGGCGGAGGAGGAACAGGATTCGGTGGTCGCGCTAATCATGGCGGCTAATTACCTGGACACGAAGCCGCTGTTGGACATTCTGTGCCAGAGGATCGCCGATACGATTAAAGATATGTCGCCGGAGGAGGTACGAGCGTTTTTCAATATCGAGAATGACTTCACCCCTGAAGAAGAGGCCAAACTCAGATCGGAGCATGCTTGGGCTTTCGAGTGATTATTTGATTTTATTTTGAATGTGAATGATTATTTTTTTACTGAATTTAATTCAACGTATCTTTTTCTTAATGGAATTTAATTTCTTATTCTCGGATTATGTTTGTTTATATTAAGAGCAGTACTTGATGAACACAACTTTTTGTATACTCTTCTATGTATACATCTAATTTCTAAATTTTCTGAATAAGTTTTCGGTGTACACAAACAACAAACAATCAGATAATATAAACAAAAAGTACACTTTTTGTGTGGGGATCCGGAACCTCTGCCTTGTTTTACCATAAGGTAGGGTGTCCGGCCTTCTTAAGCCGTCCGATCAATGAATAACCAACGGCCGAAAATCTTGGAGCTCCGCATCTCGAGACGCCTGCTTCCCCTTCTGTCCGTCGGATGCCGCACGGCAGAGGATCTGAATCCTTGTGTGGGACTAGATAAATTTTTCTTATATATTCAGGGGTGGATCCAGGAATTTAGATTAGACTGGACTGGAGAATAATTATACTAGACTTAAACATTAGAGAGGTTGGCTAAATATGACAAATGAAAAATGTACACTAAAAAATTGAAAACATTTAAGTTGCCCTAGATTTGAGCCCACTATAGCTTATATGTAGATCCTCTGATATTATTTCTCTCGTTCTCTTGTTCTCCTTTCATTTTATAATTAGAATTTTTTAGGGATTTTTTTACGTTATTTAAATATTTTCTCAGTTGAGGATCTGAGGGACATATTATTGTTTAGTACTATCAATGCCTAAACTATCGACCATGCGACATAACATCAAGAATTTTCTTTGAAAGGAAAAAATCAAATATATTAATTGCTGGTTAATTCAAGCAATTGTTCGCTAAGCTAGTTGTTTCGAACTACAAGTTAAACTTACATCGAAATAACCACTAGCCGCATTGAATAATACGGACATAGCTAGCTTATGGTCACACAATTTGCAGATCGTTTACAAAACTGAGCAACAAACCTAACATCATTCTGAAGAATGTGTCTAATATCATCGATAATAGTATCAACATATGAACTTCATGAGCCTTTTTCCTATCATGTCATGATCAGTTTTGCATTTGCTTCTAACTCGATTTAATTCCATTCTTGATCGATTCTTCGCCCATGCGAGCGTTGCTCTAACTCCGAGTGTTGCTGAACACGACGTTCTTTGACCTTATCAAATTCATCTATGACAGGCTTAACGTCGATTTTGTTGGCAAATTCCTTTTCAATAAAGATGGTCAAACAATCGGCAAGAAATTCATCATTCATCTTGTTACGAATTTCATTCTTCATGTGTTTCGTTACAGAAAATGATCTTTCTGTTGTTGCAGTCGAAACAGGTAAAGTCAATACAAGATGAATTAATCTTGTAACCATTTTGAAGTGTTCTTCCTTTCTGGATTTGACCAACCTTTTACTCAACTTCGCAAAAGAATGAACTTGAAACTAAGAATTTTGAACTATGTCAGGTTCATAAAATTGCAACTCACTCTTCAAAACATGCCTCTCGTGAGCCTGAAATTATCCGGATAAAACTCCAAAGCAAGCTTGTAGATATTATCAACATTATATGATTCAAATGAATTTTTTGGATCCCAAGCAACACTAAGTCGAAGCAATTGAACTGATGATTCCTTGAATCTACACTCTAAATTTGTCAATTCAAAGTCAATACTTTGGATGAAAAATTCAAAACGATAATAATGCTCCATATCTACCTCTTTTCGACCACGGCTAAGCTTGCTCATCATGTCAGGCACATTAATTTCATGCTGCAAGCAAAAGTGTCTGACTTTCTCAAACAAGCTCACCCATCCGTCATTTCCAACTTTTGAAGCAAATCTTTAGCGATTTCAATAAAACCAATTAATGCAGATAAGATGTCAACATTATTTCGTTGTAATGCTTGACAAACAAAATCTATTATACACATATCTGCTTCCATTAAATGTAAGCCAAACACAAAATCAAAGCTCTTAACACTAGTGCAAGCACCGTAAGCTTCAATTCGAGCTTTGGGATTTGGACCATCACATGCAATACTCATAAGAACTTTACATGTTGCATTATACATCTCTATCATGCTCAAGATAGAATCATAATGAGAGCCCAAACGAGTATTATATGATCTTTGTAAGGATGACATTTGATTTTTTCCTTGTCCTGAATCCCGCTCACCACGAGCTAACCTGCCAATGACTTCCAATCTATGCGCCTCTTGTAATTATGTGTTTCGCTTTGGTGAAGATTTTAAAATGCTGATAACTTTATCCAACATTGAAAAAAAACTCAAAACTGGGTCACATTGTTTAGCTGAGGAAACCAGAGTCAATTGCAACCTATATATGCGCAAAACAATGCACATAATATGTGTATGGACAATCATTCAAAAATAATGCTTGCAATCTATTCCATTGTCCACACATATTACCTGCACCATCATATCCCTAACCTCGTAACTTTGAACCTGAATATTATACTCAGAAAGAACCGCACTTATTTCATGCTTAAGTGTTTCAGATGAAGTGTTATAAACACCTTTAATAGCAAAGAATAATACCTTCAATGTTCACAAATCTAAGAATAATACCTTCAATGTTCACAAATCTAAGAATAATAGCCATTTGTTCTCTATCATACTCATCTTTACACTCATCTGCAAGTATAGAAAAATACCTATCCCCGATTTCCTCACGAATCATACGCCGAACACGATTAGCTAGATGAGCTAAAAGTTCCTTTTGAATATCTGGGGAGGTATACTTGGCATTCTGTGGAGCATTACTCAAGACAATATCATTCATTTCAGTATTCAATTCCCCGGTATATTTAATCAATTCAATAACATTTCCATGATTGACAGACGTTTCAGACTCATCATGACCCCTAAATCCACAACCTTGTAAAGTTAACCACAAAATACCTTTAATGGTTGTCCTTACACGCAAACGATTATTCACCACTTCTTCTTTACCGATCCTAGCAATGACTTTGTCAATATGTTGACTTGGTTTCATTAAGGACTCCGCAGAAGTCACACTCTTATTATGAGGTGATGAAGATGATGTACCAAGATGCATAAGAAACACACATTCTTTACCATTATGAACTTGTTTCCAACTATCAAAATCAGTAGTCACTAAATCCGAAACACAAGAGGAATGCACAACATCACTGAAGAGAAAGAAAGGAAAACAATATGACTTATGTGTTGCTCGAGAGTATTCCAACCAATTAAATTCATTGAACCAAGTGGCTTAAAAACAACGTATCTTATCTTTGTATTATCGGCCTTTGTAAAAGTTAAGTTTCGGTTGATAAGGTCCAAGCATCAAATAATTAAGTTTGATTAATTTCATCCATTTTCCCTAACGGCCAATCACTTATCATTTTCCATTTTCCCAGATCCCGCTCAATTACAAGTGCATCAGAAACTACTTCCTCTTGAGCGGATGAGATATGAGGAGTTTCAATTGAGAAATTTAACTCTTGTTTATTTGGTGTGCTTGTACTAGGCTTATAAAACGAACGCAGTGTGATTTTTTCCTTTTTGGAAGTAGATTGACTAGTCATACCTACTAAAATTAGTAAAAATGTAAAAAAAAAAAAACTAATCAATATTTTGTTTAATTCATATTAATATTTTAAGAAACTCACAAATAACATTTGACATTCCTAATTTTTCATTTCACAATTCAAAGCACACAAATCAATTGTGACACACTGAGTCACTAACACAAACTAAAATAACAAATAAAATACCTAAATGAAACTAAAAATTGTAATAAAAAAAAAAACGGAAGTCTGAAACTCTTACCTTGGCAGCTTGGTTGTGTCGAGACTGACAGTGTACTCCTCCAGAGAAGTAGACAGCAGCTGGCGAGCAGGAGAGGGTGGGCGTCCGACCTCCAGTAATGAGAACGACGGAGAGGGCAAGCGGTGGTTCAGTGGCGCCCGGCAAACCGGCGATGCGAGTATGGTTGACTTCCGAATTCTGAGGCGTGTGTGAATACGGGATATGCCTATGTCCATCTCTGGATGCTGCAATTCTTTTCTTTAGACAACTAGATTAGCACTCGACTGTTTGTTTGCACTGGGCCAGAATGGTTCTACATTGGGCCGGTTTTTTTTAATTGGGCCATTTCTTAAAAAAAAAAAATTAAAACTATATACGGAGTATATACTTACATTTATTAATTTATTTTTGTATATATTTATTATTCATTATGTGCAAATTTAAGGTCTTAGTCCTTGAAATTAAACTTCATCAATAATATTGTTGGTGTGTACCTACATTGTTTGAATTATGTGGTCGTTTGACTTTGATGAAATGATTTTTCATCAATTCAACATTGTGCATGTCAACTCAAAAGTTGTGTGAATTATGTGGTCCTTCGACTTTGATGGATAGATTTTTTTAATCAATTCCACATTTTCCATGTCAACTCAAAGGAAATTATTGATTTCAGAAAAAAACATAATGTCCAGTAACATTCTCCTTGAAACTCTATAATATAAGGATGTTTTTAACATCATCATACTAGTGAGTTTCAAGGAAAATGTTACTGCACACTATGTTTTTGCATAGTAAATTGTGCAAACTAATGTGTGTGAAGAAAACTTTTAAAATCTTTCAAAATATATATGCTTCCGGTGTGGGACTTCTTATTTATATATTACTCCGTACTACTATAAAGTATAAACTACCATTGCATTATCACGGTAGAAAGGATTGACTAAGGAGGGAAATATGGATTGGGATCCTCTGCCTTAAGGCATGGTGCCTTGCTCTGGACGGCACAGATCGAAAAGCAGCCCTCGAGATTCGTGCAAAAAATGGAGCCCTTCATCTTCAACCCTTCATTTTTTGATCTGATGGATGAAAACAGCCAGGCACCCTCCTTGGCTGTTTAACCTAGGGGTGGGCAAAAATACCGAACCGGCATTATACCGAATCGGACCGGTATGGTACCGGACCGATAAACGGGGTTTGAAACGGATCTCAAAATTTTTTGTCCCGAACCGGTTCCAAACAATGTCATGACCGGTTCTCAAAAAATGAGAACCGGTACCGGACCGAACCGGACCGAAGTATGGTTTATTAAATTTGT